ATTGGTTACAGGTGCAAAAACTGCATCACAAAAAAAGGTAATCTGGTGGAGGTTTAGAGAAATGGCTCCACTCAAAGGAGTCCAATCCATTCTCAATGACAAATATTTTCACAAATTTACACGTTATTGGATGGACACTGGGCAGCCTCCAGAATACCCAATTTAAGTTGTCTAAAGGCAAGGAAAACAACAGAAACTTTGTATCACTTCTGTTGATGAAATTCAGTGAAGAAATTTACTTTTCTCAGATTTCCTCTGACCCCCCCAAAATACCCACTTTACAAAGAGCTATGGTGGTTTTAGAACCTCTCTAGGGTTATCATATTACAGTTATAAGTGAGAATGCTGACAAAAATACTAATTTACGACAATCTCTATCACAGATATAAAAGTGATTTTAATTTAGTGGCCCATGTCCTACACTTCTATTTATTTTTTAAAAAAACACTGTCATCGAGTTGCTGTCAGGTACCTTTCAAGGTGAGTTATATTTCCTATGGATCCTAGAGGAAAATAAGATTTTTTAAAAATGGACACCATGCTTTCTTGTAAGCATTTAATATAAATAACATTTGTTTTGGGTGTTTCCTGTAATTTATAATTTTTAGGGAAAGTACATGAGAAATATGAGTTTTGTGGAGCATAGTGAAGAGACTGAGAGCCTAGCAATGTACCATATCTAGTAAGTTTTGGTGATCAGAAAAGAGACTTAAAACAGTTAAGTTAGAAATAAATGATAAAACTAGTGCTACACTAAAAAGAAAATTAACATAAACAATGGTAAAAATTCTGAGAAAAACCCCAATTATTACTACATGTGAACTTGCAAAAGTCAGAGTTGTGTCAATAACCTAAGTCTTTTCTGTATTTCCTCTCCTTCATATATGTTGTTGTTATGTGCCATCAAGTTGGACCCGACTCATAGCGACCGCTCCTTGGGTTTCTGAGGCAGTATCACTATGGAAGTAGATTGCCCAATCTTCCTTCCGAGGAATAGAGAAAGCATTATTATCTAAGACAGTTTTCCAATGTCTCTGAGAAGAAAACATAATCATCACTCTCATTTAGGTCTAAAGAATAACTTCAGTCTTTGGAAATTCAGTCTCCACAGACAAATGTGAATGAAAGCTGGAAGTACTTCTACCATTAAAAAAAAAAAAAGGACACAAAACTGCTTTCTCCAAGTTTGATTGTTTCCTTATTGAAATTTTGCATGAGGTCATGCAGAGGCTTCATTTCACTCAAATAATGTCGTCTACTTTAAATAAATAAATGAAGTTTACCCACAGTGGCTGCCAACCAAAAGGTTAGAGGTGCGAGCTCACTCAGAGGTGCCCTAAAAGAAATGCCTGGTGACCTACTTTCAACAATCAGCCATTAAAACCCCTCTGGAGCACATTTCTTCTCTGACACACCAGAGTCACAGCCATGAGTTGGAAATGACCTGATGGTAACTGCTTTTTTGTTTTAAGTGTATAAAGAATTCTGCAGTTTTTGCTTTTTCAAATTCCTTAAAAAGCTTCAATTTCAGGGTATTATATCAGAGCCTTCTGTTCAATCCACAAGTCATTAATACTACAAAGCCTAAATAATAACCTCTACAAAGGGCTTTAGTGTTTAAAAAGTGCTTTTGCAAATAATGTTTTATTTAATGCCTACAATAACCCTGTATCTTCTGCTCATGTATGTGGGAACCAAGGGCCAGAGAGGATAAGTGACTTGTTCAAATTCACAAGACAAGTTTGTTGCCAGAGAGGTAGGTACTTCTATTCCTTGACACTAACCAAATCAAACACATTGCCTTCAAATCGGATCTGACTCATAGCGACCGCTCCTTGGGTTTCCGAGGTGGTATCACTGCGGAAGTAGACTGCCTAACCTTCGTGTCCCTAATTATCTCCATCTTCTGGAAAAGTGGAAACTTTGGTCAATCATGTAAATGTTTCCCAGGACAGAGCAGCTGGAGTCACGGAGACTCAGTTGAAGTATCCCCCAATAAAAATGGCACACAATCCCTCATTCACTCCTATCTCAGGAGAGACTCTCATTCTGAAGGCTCTTCTATTGCAGCATTTATCATGTCTCTAAGGCATATTTCCATTGCTCAATCAGCTCTAAAGGACAAGTGTGTCATCACCAGTCAGTGCTCTGGTGCAACAACTTCAAATTATCAAATTCACACAGGACCGAGTCTGGCACCAAAAGCAAAAGGCATATTCAGCTTGAGTTTGTAGAAGCTTTTCTTTGGTCTTGCCAATTTTCACTAGTGGAAATGGTTTTAGAGTCAGTATGGGGTTATTTAGGGTTGCTTGAGAAGGTCATGATGAAACCAAGAGGGGACTAAGATAACGAGTTCACAGTAGTAATCAGGCTCAGTAAAAAGTCTGGGGGTCCTCTTTGGATACAGTGGTCATTATAGTGGAGATTTTACTGTATGCCAATTTTATATTATGTCTAATATAGCTGAATAGCTCAATCACTCACAATAAAAGCCTCTTTTTCTTCTACAGCAATATCCAGCTGCTTGCAACAACCTCCAACTCCACTTTGTCTATGACGAGGAAGGTGGAAATCTAAACCAGTTACTGTACCTAGGCCAAATACCCAATTTCTCCAGAGTTTTGGGTGAGTGTTTCACCTTTGCTGGCTCTAGACAGCTAATGATGATCACAGTCCTCATTTATTTTCAAGTCTATCTGTTTTGGCAAGAGGTGGCACTGACATTGTCAATCCATCAGTATTTACTGGTTACCCATAAAATACAACAGAAGTAACTATCACAGGTCTTTGGCCTTTAGGAAATCATATTTTTAACAGAAAACAACACGCATGAATAAGATGTAATCAGAGACCATTAAGACAATGAGATCAAGGGCTAAGTCACTGGCACAAAATATGTGTTGTGATTGCTAAAAATTTAAGTATATACCCTGTTAGTTAAGAAAAAAAGCACTACAACCCAGAATGTTCACTGTGGCACTATTCACAACAGGCAAAAGGTTGAAACCACCCCCCAAGTGTCCATCAACAGAGATATGGTACATGCATACAATGTAGTATTATTCAGCCATATAGAAGAAGTAAGTCCTGATACATGTAATGGCATGGATGAACTCTGAAAACATTATGCTGAGAGAAATAAGTTACTCACAAAAGGGCAAGTATGACCCCACTTACATGAAATATAAGACAAATATTTGCCAAAATAATAGGCAAATGCATAGAGACAAAAGTAGATTAGTGGTTACCAGGGGCGAGGGAGGGGAAGAGAGAACGGGAAGTTACTGCTTAAGGGACACTGAATTTCTCTTTGAGGTGATTAAAAAAACTTTTGTAATTAGATAGTGATGATGACGTACAACACAGTGAATGTAATTAATGTCTGAATTACACACTTAAAATTATTAAAATGGCGAATGTTTTGTTATATATTTTATCACAATAATGTATTTAAAAAAGAAGAAGAAAAGTACTATGTTCTTCTTTTGACAGGGAATAAACAGGGAAAACTCAAGGCATTAAAAAGAAGAGATTAGCACAGAATGAAAACTAACATGAATCACATAAGGATCCTTACAAAACAGGACTTGCCCTCAGCTAACCTAAAGGATTTGCTGCATTACATTCTAGACATATTCTTTTCAGAGAAAATGATTGCATTTTGATTCAAGAATTATTTCATGGAATAGCTAGGATATTTTGCCCTAATGCAGGCTAAATTAATAACTAAAGAGAAATAACAATAACTTTTATGACTTGCAAAAAAAGAGAATACAATCATTTATTCAATATCATGAAAATAAAACCCTATTTAAGAGGTTCTGATAATAGAAATATACACCAAGTCAAACGATTATAATAAAATGAAACATTATTTCAGGAAACATCTTTTCTTAAACTTTTTAAAAAACTTGATGGTTTTAAAATCTGTGATTACTATGTCAAAATTCTAGGCTTTCAGAAAGATTAAGCTTAAAATAGAGGCATCCATTTAAACAATTAAGTGACTTAATTTTAACACCTGAGCTTTTATACTGTAAAACATGAATCATACTATGTAACACAATCTATACTGTTACATGGGCTCTATGAGAAGAGAAAAAATAAAATATAAATGAAGGAATAAATACAAAATAATACAAAACATAGGAAGCTGTGCTAAGAAACTCCAGTAGAAGGAGCTGTAGAAATGAAGAACATACATTTGACAACGGCCAAGAAAAGTGCTGAAAAATAAAATGAAGTATCTATTTGAATCTTTCATATCCGAGTAGAATAATAGTTAGAAATTTATTTAGCATGCAATAAACATTTAATCTTTTAGGAACCAAGAGTGAAATGAGATGCTTAGGAGAGATATTCTTCAAGGTCCCCACGGTCTATTCTTCTATACTTGAGTAGGCACTATGCTAGGTATCCTAAGAAACATGAGGAACAATATAACTTGGTCCCTATACTCTGAGAACTTGCAATGCTATGGCAAGATAAAATGTACACACAGATACCTAGATTTCAATGTGGAAGAGAAAAGTACTGAGAGTGTTTTAAAGAGGTATAAAAGTGCTGGAAGAGGGATAAAAATTGCTCTGAGAGCTATCTGACCTAAAAGACAAAGGAGGAAAAAGTGATCCTTCAACTATTTCAAAAATCCTTTTAACTATTTTTTGGGAGATGTACGCAAACTCAGGAAATAAAAATAAATAGGATGAGTTTGGGATATAAATACATCTCAATGCCTACAATTCAGGAAGTGAGAACACCAGGCACAGAAAAAAATATGTATCAGGGTTTTTTTTTCCAAAGGTTTTCACTATGCTTTATCAGTGAACGAACACTAGAGCAGAAAGCTAAGCCTTAAAGTACTGGAGTTCATACATGATAGTATTAGAATAAATATAATTGGAGAAATAACTTTTCCACAGTTTGATGCTCTACCAGCAATTTCAACCTTATTTAATGCCCAGAGTACCCCAAACAGCCCTTTCTAGAATAGACTTTACCTTGTGAAGTGCTTGCAGACAGTGTACCAGTGAAGGAACTGCCCTCTGGGTCAACGAGAGAATCTCCCAGAGTTTCACCCATAGCAGCATGGAATAAGGATTTGCTGTGATTCACACACTGATATTTTGTCTATTTCTTGCAACTAAGCAATCCGTTAAAAGAAAAAGACTTACAGTAATAAAACATGTGAATACACCAATGAATCAAGACATCAGTTTCCAAATATATCTGGGAGAGGCAGGAATAAACACTGAAAGGCCCTGGCCTGAACTGGCACTGTTCTGTTAAGAGAGCCAGCTATGACAAAACACGGTGTCATAATGCTGCTCACTGCTTTGGCAAGACTTACATTACAAGGAAAACATTGCCACACTGTCTCGCCAGTGACCCACATGCTTATTGTCTTGTGAGGGGTGTGAACTGTACAGTATTTAGAATTATCAGAGTAAGGAGATTGTACAATATTCAAATGCTTTCTTAAAATGGAAAACTTTAAATCCCTGGGTTATGAAATACCAGATTAATTTATTCGGACAAAGTTTTCTTCTAACTGTCCACCGCTGGCTAAATCTCTAACCACTTTATCAGAAGTAAATTTTTAAATTCAAATATGCACTCATATTTTAAATTTGGTTAACAACCTGCTACTGACATGTAAAACTCCAAAGGTATTTATTCTACTACTTCTAACTGTTGTTGAGTGGATTGCAACTCAAGGGAACTTCACGTGTCAGAGTAGAACTGTGCTCCGTGTGGTTTCTTTTCAATGGCCCATTTTTCAGAAGTGGATCACTAGGCCTTTCTTCAGAAGCATCTCTGGGTGGACTCGAACCTCCAGCCTTTTGGTTACAGCTGAGCACATTAACCATTTACATCAACCTGTGACTCTTCTCCTTTACATAGCCCAAAATGATGCTAACTGTTGTCCAAATTCCATAAAGTTAAATAGCTCAGTCAATTAAGATAGGGCCTGCTGTGTGCGTGTGTGTTTAATATTTTATTATGTTTTTGGAGAAAATTTTTATAGCAAATTAGGTTTTCATTTAACAATTTCTATACATACTGTTCAAAGACATTGGTTACACTTTTCACAATGGGTCAAGATTTTTGTTATTTCCATCTGGTTGTTCTGTTTTCATTAATTTAGCTTCCTTGTCCTCCTTCTCAGCTTTGGTCTCTAGTAACTGTTGACCTTTAGGTCTCATTTAAGTTGTTCTGGTGGTGCAGTGGTTAAAGCATTCAGTGCTAACCAAAACGCTGTGCGTTCAAGCCCATCAGTCATGGAAGACAGCTGAGAGAATCTGCTTCCATAAAGATTGGAAACCCTATGGCAGTTGCTATGAGTCAGAATTGACTCAATGGCAGTGAATTTGATTTGGTTTGAGGTCCCACTTAGATGACTATTTAGAGAAGCACAGACAGTACTCACAGGTGATATTATTTATTTTATGAGTCACTCTGTCTTTTGGCTGATAGGGGACCACCAGTAGTGGTTTGAGTTCCAAGTTCAAAAGATATTTTAAGGCAATAGTCTTGGGGTTTCCTCTAGTCCCTTCCAGCACATGAAGTCCAGATTTGTTTTTTAGGAATCTGAGTTTTGCTCTGTATTTTTCTCCCACTCTATCTGAGACCATCTATTGTGTCCTGGGTCAGAGTGGTCAGTAGTGGTAGGCGGGCACCATGGAGTCCTTCTGGTCTCAAGGTGAGGTTGTGGATCACACAGACTAGTCCTGTAGACTAGTCTCTTCTTTGAGTCTTTGGTTTCCTTCTTTCTCTTTTGCTCTAGATGCATAGAGATCAACAGTTGTATTTTAGATGGTTTCTCACCAGCTTTTAAGACCCCAGATACTGCTCACCAAACTAAGATGTAGAACATTATCTTTGTGAGTAACGCTATGCCAGCTGACCAAGCTGCCCCATGAGAATAAGATGATCCTAAGCCCTCAAATCCAGTAACACAATCCCCCAAGGTGTTTGGTAATGTTGAAATATCCATAGCTGTGTCTCCTCTGTGCTTTATTTTATATATAAATATATTATTGTTGTTGTTACTAGGCACCGTCGAGTCAGCTCCAACTCACAGTGACCCTATACAACAGAATGAAACACTGCCTGGTCCTGCGCCAGCCTCACAATCCTTGCTATGCCCGAGCCCATCATGGACAAAGTTTCAGGGCTATTCATAAAGTTTTCCAGTACTATATTAGACAGTGCTTCACTGCTATTTATAAGATTTTCACTGGTCAATTCTTGAAAAGTGGATGGCCCCTTCCTTCTCTGAGTCTGTCTTAGTCTGGAAGCTCTACCAAAACCTGTCCACCGTGGGTGACCCTGCTGGTATTTGAAATACCAGTGGCATAGCCTCCAGCCTCACAGCAACATGCAAGCCACCACAGTAGGAAAAACTGACAGACAAGTGGTGGATATGAATATACATATGCATACATATTCGCCTACAGAAATCAACTATACATGCGTACTTGTATGTCCATACGTTCTTACCTATTACAGTGCAGTGAATTACTTAATATGGCTCTTCCAGCCATGGTCTTTGTGACTCCCACCAGATGACTGGGTGGGACTCTACAAATATGAGGTGCTTATAGCCCACCAAGGAGACTGGACAGCTTACAAATAATGTAAATAAAGTACATGGCACTTATGGGGATGGGACCATGCAAATAAGATATATAGAAGCCTAATATGGGGACTGGTCAGTTTTGCCATCTTGCTAGGCTTAAAATGAGCTACTCCAGAGGCAGAAAAGGAGGATCTCACTACCATCCAGAAAAAAGAGCCAGGAGTAGAGCATGTTTGGACCTGAGATCCCTGTGCTGAACCTCCGTGACTCGGAAGACAGAGAGCTATGAGACCAGAGATAGTGAGAAGCAACAGAGACACGGTGGCAGCAGAGGCAACAGAACCAAGAGACAAACCCAAGACAGTGTTGGGCTTTCTGGCCCACAGTGCAAGAAAGCTGAGCACTCTGGGCTGGGGCTTACTGGCAGGGTAGGGTGCCTCTGAGCATTTATCAGCAGAGCTAAAAGAGATTTGTAATACTTGCCTGAGCAGGGCAGAGGCCAGGCCAAAGGGCCCAGGGAGAGACCTGTGTTTGGACACAGCTGATGGGAGGCTGTCCGAATAGAAGGACTGTGTTCTGAGTCATTTCTGACCCTGAATTTAACTTGTTACTTTCCTAATAAACTCCAAAATTCTGAGTATTGTCTGTGAGTTCTGTATGGCCATTCCAATGAATTATCAAACACAGCAGAGAAGTAGGGAATGGTATTGGGAAGGACGGTTGGTGTCAGAATTTGTAAAATTGTTGGAGGTTGGCAATATGTCTGGCCTCTGCTTAATAGGATGCAGCCTTAGGCTGTTGATCTTGATCCTTCTCCCACTTTGTGAAGTTAAAGGAGATCAGATGCTGCTCCCATACCAATTTTACACCTATACATACATAAGCATATGTGTCTATGTATATAACCACATACATATTTTGTTTGTTGTTACTGTTGTTGCAAAAATTATACATGTTGTGGCTTTTATCAAAATCATCCTTCATTCTTGTGTACTTCTCAGAGTCATCATTTACCTTGGTCAAGTTGTGCTGACTTCACCCTTATTCAGTACTGCCTTACCCATCACCAAAACTAACAAGTGTCTACTACCTAGAAAGTGACTCCCTTTCTTTCTCCCTCCCATCCCTGGTAATCACCAAAGAACGTTGCTTTCTGTATGTATACCTATTCTTGTCTTTTTATAATAAGATCATATAGTACTTGTCTTTCTGTGATTGATTTCTTTCACTCAGCATAATGTCCTCCAAGATTCATCTACGTTATAACATATTTTGAGAACTCATCATTATTTGTTATGGCTGAATAGTATTCCGCTGTGTGTATGTACCACAATTTGTTTATCCATTCATCTGTTGATGGGCAGTTACGTTGTTTCCTTTTTTTTTTTTTGGTTATTGTGATGTTGCAATGGACATAGGTGAGCATGTATTTGTTCATGTCAGTAGTTTTGGTTCTTTAGGCTATATAACTAGGAGTGGGATTTCTGGATCACAGAGTATTTCTATTACTAGCTTTTTAAGGAAGTGCCATACTATTTTCCATAGTGGTTGAACTAATTTATAATCCTACCAGCAGTGGAGCAGAGTTCCAATCTCTCTGCAACCTCACCAATACTTGTTGCTTTCTGTTTTTTTTTGATCAGTGCCATTTTTGCATGGGTGAGATGGTATCTCACTGTAGTTTTGATTTCCACCTCTCTGATGGCTAATGCTTATGAGCATCTTTTCATGTGTTTCTGGCCACATGAATGTCTTCTTTGGTGAAGTGTTTGTTCATGTCCTTTGCCCACTTAATTGGATTGTTACTCTTATTGATGTTGAGTTGCTGAAGTTTTCTATATATTTTAGAGATTAGATTATCAGAATTATCATTCCCAAAGATTTTTTTCCCAAACTATGGGTTCTCTTTTTACTCTTTGGATAAAGTTTTTTTTTTTTTTTTTAAATTGTGATTTAAGCCTCCTACTTTGTTCTTCTTCACCCAAATTGTGATTTGGGTGAAAATTTACAGAGCAAATTCACTTTCCATACAGCTGTTCACATACACTTTGTCTCATGACGTTGACCACAATTCACCACAATGCAACAGCTCCCCTCCCACTTCTTCCCTACAGTCACCTCTTCCCTGTGTCCATCCCTCCATGCACCCTTGTCCCCTGAGCTGTCTCTGTGTGCATAAACAGCTCTTCTTTCTCCCATGATTGTTCTCTCCAAGGAGTGTATTTACTTCAGGTAAATGATCAACTCCTATGCCTGTCTTTTGCTTGGGTGGAAGCCACAGGTGTGGGTTCAATTCCAGACCTGAAGGGCAGCCAGGGGCCATAGTCTCAGTGGTCCCACCTGGCTCTATGAGACCAGCAAACCTGGTCCCCCCTTTTTTTTTCCCAAATGATTTTGAGTTTTGTTCCACATTGTTCTCCCTCTCTATCTAGGATCTCCTACATAGATCTCCCTCGGAGTGGTTGACATTGGTAGCCGGGCACCATCTAGTTCTTCTGGTTTGATAAAGTTTTTTGATGAGCGTAACTATTTAATTTTTAGGAAGTCCTGTTATCTAATTTGTCTTCTGTTGCTTGTGTATTTGTAGTTG